CGGGGGATCCCCCCCCTCCCCCTCGCCCGCCCGGGCCGGGTTCGCGGGGGGGGGTGTTGGGGGAGGGTATACCCACACCCTTTTTAAATTTGTCAAGGTTGAGAAACCCTGATTTACTCACTGAAGATGCTAGTATCCCATCTGGTCTGCTCCTGACTTTTCCACTTCATGCAGGAAGTTCTCAAAGGTGACTCTACTCACCTGCTGTTGAAAGTAGGCAGAAATTCTTCCTGTGAGCCAAACATCAAACTTAATTACAGTCCTGATTGTGGAGAAGTTGCCCTAAGTACAGAAGAGCAAAACCCCTTCAGTATTAGCAAGGGAAAGGCCGGAATAAGGAAGGGCTGGCTAAAATATAGCCCTTGGCTCCTATAACAGTTGACGTTTCCTATTAAGACAAACTTTATGATAGCCTCTGATTTTGCAGTATAGCAGCGGAAATATCAATATGCCGCTGCAGAAAATGACAAATCTAAGACAATAGCTTGTTGGGCTGTATTTTGCATCTATTAAAAAGAGTTGTTGCTGTTTAGAGTCTCTTTATATAAACTCAGGATTGTTGTTGTTTGTTGTTCAGATGATGACTCTCAGCTAAGCAGCCAGTCACCCACTTATTCTCCAAAACAAGCAGATAGTTATACTAGTTCTTCATCGGATGAGGTAAGGACAAGGCAACCTTGAAGTTATGCAAGTTAATCGTCCAAGTATTTGCACACTGTACGTTCTGAATCCTTCTGCAAATTATTGATTGCGTAGATGGCTTCTCAAAAATGCATCATGCATATGAAAGTAGAATAGCTAATAGCATCATTTACATTACTACTAGCTAACTTAATGGATTAATGGGAAGCGAAAATATTGGCAGTGCTTTGAACTAGAATTGGAGTATGGTTCTTTTCCATTCTATTATGATTATATATATTTGAAAGGGTCATACGAGCAATAAGAAGGACTCTGTGGGTCATTAACAGTCCTGGTGATTCATTGGACGCTAACAAATGAGTACACTGACTCGGATTTATTTTAACAGTCTAAAGTAGGGGAGTGGAACGAAGAGGCATCATGTGATTCTGAAGGCTCTTCCAAGCATCCATGCTCAGGTTCAGGAAATCAAAGAACAAAGTATGTTTGTCAATTTGATGGTGGGCCCTGGAACACTGCTAACATTCAGCCCCAGGCAAAATCGGCCCCAATTCCAAGAAAAAATACGTTGGACAGAGCTGGACTACAGCTGTCAGATATGGATCGTAAGGGAAAGCACGATGTTTCATCCCAAACAGAAACCTATGCTGAGCCAGTAGAAAAATCCAATGCAGCTGTGCAGTGCGACATAATCCGGGTCTGCAACTGTAAAGACGAGCTATCCTTTGACCGTAGTGCTGAGACTGTTACTTCAACTAGCAAGGCAGAGACCACCGGAGGGCAGAGCATCCCATCCGACAGCCCGGCATTTCAGCCTAAAAGCAGCAATTTGTTGTTTACTAAGAATGTGTCTCCTGAAACAGATTGTTTCATAGTCAGCGGCAAAGTGAGCCTAGCTCAATGTAACCAATAAAAGGAAACAATGCACCTGAACATGCATATTTATTGGTGATGCCGTCGAGAAGAGAGCTTGAATTAATCTGTTTCCTCCAACACCTATATTTTCCAGCTCCACTTCATGACACAGATTTAGGGATACTTAAATACATGTGTCACAAAACAACAGGGAATTAAGCAACTATAATAACAATGATTAAAACAAGATATATATATATATATATATATTGCTACTCTAGTTCAGTAAACTTTACGTTCTCTATAACTGTTTTCTCCATCCCTTGATCTTTACATCTTTCTGTACCTCCCATTTTTGTTAACACATTATTTAATGTAAATGTCTCTGTAAAAACAGTACTTATAAATTTGTACTTTCTCCTTTCCTTCCTAAAGCCAACACACAGTGGCCCAGTTCGGTCATAACGAGTCGCTGCACGCCAGAATTTGTTGGCAAACTCAAACATTTTGTCCTCTTCAGGTGAGCTTGCGACAGAAGGAAAGGGATAGATGAATAAGAGATCCTCGTTTGTATGGGATGTCTGCAGCCGAAAATATGGCTGAAGACCCACAGCCAGAATTCATTTGCTACCTTGGTTTTAAACAATATTTAAGCCATAGTTTTCTGGTTCACCTCAGGGAATCTCTATGATTAAGCATACAAGAAGAAAGAGAGGAGAACACACTTAATCTTGTTATTTATTCATATGTCAAGAGGCAGTTTTCCTATTGTAAATGAATTGGATCAAAGACAATAGATTTCACTGTAAATTCTAATATTATCAGAAGCTATATTAAAAATGAAGAATATAAATTTCTGCATCTGAAATTGGGAGCCCTGAGAATATTCCTGAATAGTTATATTTCAGCCCTCCTTTTTGAAATGTAGTGACTTAATTCACCCGTTCTTGCTTTTAAATTTGGCTGAACATCTTCCAGTTTAAGAGATCGAGATTTATTGTCATTTTCTTTGTAGTTCTGTTGCTTTTAATTCAGGAATGACAACTCGTTTTATTTTTACTGTTTCTCCTTTAAACAATTGCTCCGCTAAGATAGGCACTTTCTAACCCATTCCTCCCTTCAGTTTTGCCCTATCTGTGGCAGGTCAGCCTGGGCTAGTTATGGTTGAAAGGAGCTTCCTGTCTTACTTTAAGGAAGAATCTTGGGTTTGTCAATATCATCCCATTGGATAAGGAAAGAGAGAGATACTGAAGGAAGAGATGGCTGAGAAGGTTACCATGCAACGCCTTTGACCCCTTTGAAGCATGTTACTGAAAAACTTAGCAGACTTCACAGCTGTTGCCACACTGTTGATCTGGGAGACCTTGTGCCTCAAGGATATGCGTGTTTCAAGTTGTGTTCTAAAGCACCAGCATCTCACTGAAATAAAAATTGACATTAAAGGAAATTCTGTATCAAGTAATTGTTTCCTATTGGAAATGTTAATTGTGCTAGTCTCTCGAAGGAAGAGCCCAACCCACACAGAGAGTATATCTTGGCTGTATTGTGGCTCTCTTAAGAGTTTCTCTCTAGCAGAAAGCCAGCATCTTGCAATCCCCTCCTGCAGAATCTACAAGTCTCAGCAGCTTCTTGGCAGATGCAGAATTTAGCAGAAACAAATAATCAAGAACTGCTTTTCTGAAGAGAGAGCGAGAGAATGAGAGATGGTGGGCTAGTGGGGGGAAGTGGGGGGGAAGAAGCATAATAGCCCCACACACACACACATACATTTGCTCAATAACTTTCTTGCTTTATCCTGGGTTAAGTTTAGCTGCCTTAGCAACAAGGCATCCAAAAATGAGATTAAAGCTTCTCCACCAACCAGGAAAGATAGAAATCGTGTGATAAAAACGTTGCTGTAGTGCTGGTACTCTCAGATTCTTTCCCTTTATTTGGCTTGACCATCTATCCTCCTCCTTCCCCGTCTCTCAACGGCATCTGCGGGGGGGATCAAAGTTCTGCAAGATGGCGGGCAGCCAAAGCCCTGCCCCTTTGGTGTGTTTCATGCACATGCCAAAGAGGCCTTCAGTCACGATGCCCGGTCTGCCATCTAGCAGATTTTGACACCTTGCCCGTGGATGCCACGGGTGATTTGGTGATTACCAGCATATCCATTTTTTGTTCCTGGAAGAAAAAAATGGGATATAAATAGAGACAAATATTATTTGTTACAACACGTAACATATGGTTTACTTGCAAAGAGAATCACAACAATATCACAAATACATCTTTGGTATTTCACTGGGCTTGATTCCTAACAACATTATCTAATAATTCATTCAATGAAAAAAGTCAGCAAAGCAAGCAAAAATAGTAGCAACAATATAAAAATTATGTTTTATTTATAAATATACCAAATATATAGATTTATGTCCTGCTTTTCTTCCAGGAGCTCAGAGTAGGCTGCATGGGACCACTCTTCCTTTTATCCCCATAACAATAATCCTTGAAAATATATAGGGCTGAAAGTCATCCAGTGAGTTCCTATGGCTGAGGGTGGATTTGAACCCAGGTCTCCCCAGGCCTAATGCAGCACCTTAATGGCTCTAACTCTTAACATGACGCGGAATTGAAGGGTATTTGTCAAAGGCAAGCAATGCATTCGATTTACGCATTTCCTAAACTGGCTTTGGTGTAGCAAGAGTAATACCAACAGATTCTCTCTTTAAAGACAGAACCATTGTCACGTTCAGTTTCCTTTTTTCTTTTTTTCATAATAGCAGTAGGCAGCTAAGAGCAGGGATGCATCACGTATAAGAATCGTTCAAGCTCCTTATTAAAACGATTAAATCAGCTTGTTGGGCCTGAGAGGCACAGATGGAACATACATGATTTTCCTTAGTCAATCACTCTCTCTACATTAGGACTGCATAAAGCTTCTGGGTCTTTCAGAGGTATGTGGCTGGCAACAATAAATAAGTGAAACGTTTCTCAGGTATAAATCCAGAATAAAGCAGTGCTGCAGCTTTTGATACTCTGCCAGCTGTGTGACTATTCAGGCATTGCTTACACAATTATCTTATGGTAGGACCAGAAGATGCATTCGACAGATGGGGAAAACTTCTAAAAACTCTGTAAGTGGCCTGGGCTTGTTTTTGTACCCACTCTGAATCATGACACGTGCTCCTTGTTCTTGCTCATCCATTCTCTTCCCAGCCTATGAAGGAATCAAAACTCATCGGTGCTCATTTCCCCCATAGTTCAGTCATCAGAAAAGTGCTTCAGCAGGTTCTCATGGAAAATATTTATGAACATCCAGCCTTAATGTGACAGCTGGTATTCACTACATCAGAGGCAAAGTTGGAAGGCTAAGAAGTTCCCTGACAAGCACTCCATCTTGAAAGAACTTATCCTCAAGCTGCTTCCTTGAATTTCCCACCTGACTTGGTAGGAAACACGGCAGGGGTGTCCTCATTCTCCAGTCAATTCACTGAAACACGTTTGGACCTAACGGGCCAGTCCCTACTTATTCACTCTGTTGGAGTGCGTGTTATGGAAGATTTAATATCTTAATAATTCCTAGTCCAAATTTCAAAGATCTCAGAGATCGCCGATGAATGATCAGTTGCTCTATATAGATTTCACTGAATATAAGGGAATCTCCATGGGGGAGAATTCCATAATTCTCACTGTTTCCGGAGGAGAGGTCAGTTTAATTCATATGTCTTCTATGTGAAGAATATATCTACCGAGTTAGCCTTCTCTCTCTAAAACGGATTGTCAGATATTACATTTTATCCCACCTTTTTTGGGTGGGCGGGTTATAATTTATTTATTAAAACATTTAAAGGAACAGAATAAATGACCACTTTAAGATTGAAAAAGACATCATATTTCGTAGAACACCCTTTTGAGGCGATAAGTGCAACTGAGCGCTTTCTGTAGCTCTGAATAAGACTTCTTCTGTGCCTCTCAACTGGCCATTTGTGCCACTCTTCTTGAGAAAATTGCTTCAGTTCTCTTAGGCTTGATTGGGTTTCTTCTCCCATCCGTGAGTTTCCGCTCTTTCCATAGATGTTCTATTGGATTCAGATCAGGACTCATAGGCCACTTCTGAACAGTCCAAGGTTTGTTCTTCAACTGTTCTTGGGTTCTCTTAGATGTATGCTTTGGGTCATTATCCTGCTGGAGGACCTGGCCTGCAACTGAGACAGAGCTTTCTAACATTGGGCACTACGTTTTGCTCCAGAATACCTTGATAATCTTCTGATTTCATTGTGCCCTGCACAGATTCAAGGCACCTGGTGCCAGAGGCAGCAAGGCAACCCCAAAACATTATGGAGCCTCCTCCATGTTTCACAGTACAGGTTGTCCTTGCTTAACAACCACAATTGGGACTAAGCAATACAGTCATTAAGCAAAACGTCATGTGACCACAATAGACTTACCTCACTTCTGCCATGGTTGTTGAGCGAATCACCGTGGTCATTAAGTGAGACATCACATAACCGTGAATTGTGGTTTTACTGCTGGCTTCTTCTTGTTGGAAGCTGGCTGTGAAGCACACAAATGGCAATCATGTGACCACAGGACGCTGCAACGGTCATAAACAGTTGCAAAGTACCTGACTCTTGATCATGTGACTGCAGGGATGCTGCAACAGTGATAAATGCAAGGATTGGTCATAACGTTACTTTTTCACCACCACTGTAACTTTGAATGGTTGCTAAACAGGGCAGTTGTTAAGCCAGGACTGTCTGTAGGGATGGTGGTCTTTTCTTTAAAAGCATAGTTTTTTCTTCTGTGAACAGAGTTGCTGTGACTTACCAAAAAGCTCTAATTTTGTTTCACAGAAGGACCGTGGCTTCTCAACATGCATTTTAGCAAGCTCCAGTTTGGCGTTTTGTGTCTGCCTTTCAGAAATGGGGTCTTCCTGGGTTTTCTACCATGGAAGCCCACTTTCAATCAGACAGCAATGGATGGTGTGACCTGATGTTGTTGTCCCTTGATCTTGGAGCTCAGCCAGGATCTGTTTTGAAGTTTTCCTTGGTTCTTTCTCTACCATTTCAACTATCCTTCTGTTGAATCTGGGGTCAATTTTCCCCTTGTGGCCATGTCCAGGGAGGTTGACTATGGTCCCATGGACCTTAAACTTCTTGATAATATTAGCAACCATGGTCATGGGAACATGAAACTCTTTGCAGATGGTTTTGTAGCCTAAACCTTTAGCATGCCTGGCTATTACCTTCTTCTTTTGCTCCTCAGACAACTCTCTGCCTTTCTTTCTCTTGTCCATTTACACCGTGCTACGCACAATGACACAAAATGCCTGAGTGAGTACTTTTCTCCATTCAAATCGGCAGAGTGAGAGATACTAATGAAAGAATACAGTCTGCTTGAGGAATCACTAAAACCCAATCATGTCTTTTAACTTCTAAGGGGTACCAACAATTGTGTCCATGCCATTTTCATTTGTTGTATTATTTACAATGTATGTTAAGTCAAACATCAAAAGCAGTGTTGTAAAAAGCTTTAGAAATGTTGAGGAAAGGGTAGAGATTTTTTTTGTAAAATGTTTTCAGTGATGTTTCACATTACCAAATCTGTTCTGTACATCATTCTCCAACAGACTGGTCTGCCCTTCGGTGTGCATTTCGGTGTGGACTTTTTGACACCCCCCCAACAACACCCTGGGTCCTAAGATAAGGATGATCCATGGTGTGTTTTATCACTTTTTATTTTGCTATCTGGTGTCTTTAAAGCAGAACCTTCTATATTCTGGTTTAAACAGTATTAGTTACCGTGCAATTCTTCTGATTACAAAGAGACATGATTCTTATCTTACCAGGAAACAAGTCACATACCATGGAAACTTTATCCTGCAATGACTTTTTCTTGACAATATTACTAAAAAACACTCAGCATCTCAAGTCCAGGCAGAGGAAGCATAAAATATAGATAGCATCACATTATGAATAGAATTGGAAAGCACACAGGAATGTTGCATTTTATAGGTCAATTAAGAAAAAAAATGAAAACATTTTACTGACGAATTACAGAAGGGTCTGAGCATCTGTTACTACTATAGTATCTGTTGTGTACCTTATATATTCAGATATTAACCTATAAAGAATGAAACGCATGAACTCAAAGTTCTTTAAAATGATAAATACCTCCAGGCCCGAGTTATCAGAAGATAATAGGCAGTGATACCCAAGAGAGTTTGTCTGTGCTTAGTGATATGATTTGGGGAAGGAGCAGTTGTTCATACATGGAATCGTTCTGCAGCAGGAAGCCACCTAACTAAATAATCATTTCTGAAATTCAATTTGTTTGCAAGATGATTTGATTTCCAGGGCACATTCACACACACTCTTGTCAGCTGTGCTGACGATCTCAAAAAGGACTGCCATGCTTTCTAAAAGACCAGTTAAGACAAGGACAGGCTTTTCCTACCCACCCATCAAATGCCACCACAAAGGCTTTGAAGCCCTATCTTGCCCTCGGGGGGGAGGGGGGGAGAAGTGGTACTAATTTGTGAACTGTTAGTATCTTACAGCAATTTTTCCATCAAAATTACAGCATCTCTCTAGGACTACCTTGAATCACGGGACAGTGAGAAGTCTTCTATCTGTGAACATGTCGAGGGAAAATAAAAGAGCAAAAGGGGAGCGGGTCAGCAAAGAACACACCAGCCCAGGCAGACAATAGATGTAGTTCACACTTGCAAACAGTAATTCCCGGTGGCGGGATTCCATATCTATTGAAAATTCTACCAAAATCATTTGATCAACAATGGTTAGCCCACGTGAATCCTTCCAATCAATGGTTTGGAGTATCCATCAAAGAGTGGGACAACGTGGCAACAATGCCCCTTTGTCATATATTAGTTGGCCCAGATACATTATCTGATCATTTGAACTAGATGTGTGCTTCATTTCAAGCTTCCTCTTCTAGTGTGGGAATGCATTAAGGCTTGCGTTGGTGGAGAGGGCACGGAGGTGCCTGCAAGTTGGGGTGTGGTGGCCGTGGCCCCATCTCTGGGATGGCCCCTGGAAACATGCCAGGCTCGCTCAGTGGTAGCTATGCCACCAACTGTTTCCTAAAAAGCCATTTCACACTATTGGCAAGTGTGACTACCAGTGGCTTTCTATAACCTATGGAAATATAGATTCATGCTTCTAATGCACACAGGATATCATTAGGTAATGGGGGAAAGAAGAACTATGTTTACTCATATGCTTTCAAACTGAAGATTTATCTTCATTATTTGATAATCCAACATTTGTGGCCACAGGCTTATAACTCCCACAGCAGGCGTCATCAACCTCTCTCTCTCTCTCTCTTTATGCGCTATCAAGAGACACCAACTTTTTAAGCCTATTTGAAGATACAGCAAATCCAGTTGTCGTTCCCTAGGAGATTTTAGCTTACTAGCTCTGCTTTTTCCATCCAGCTGGTTACTAAATCAGCCTTCCACACAGTCACAGATTTTGTGACCCACCTTCCCAGAATTACTGCTTTTATAGAGGGACGCAGTCAAAAGGGGTTGCCACAATAATGGCGTGGAGACGATCTTTTAAAACCAGCAAACCGGAGTATATGACATTTTTGCGTCTAATTTCTAAGAAAATTGCTTACACTGCTGTGATTATGTTTGTGTTACCTTTAATTATAAAGCCTTTTCCATTAGCAAGCAAACCAGCGGGTCACTTTGCTTTGACGCTCTACACAGCTTACTCCCCTTCAGTCCCCTCTCCTGAAATCTCATTAAGTGATATGGCACAGACAGACCAAGAGGGAGCAGAGAATCGCAATCAGCAGTTACATCCAGGCACAAGATTTAGCCATTTATTTGCCATCTGTAACATTCAGGAAATAACGGAAAATGATCAAATCGACTGTGGTTCGATTATGGGTGGACAAGAAAGTTTAAAAGAAAGAAAGAAAGAAAAGAGTTCAGGTTTGCAATCAGTTATGTAGCTGGTTCTGCAAACCCTGCGCATTTCATCTCAGTTTTTCCAACAGTGCTTGCCCGTGATGTATGGCAAAAGTTACTTGAAAGGAGGGGTAGCTTAAAAAGAAAAAGGAAAGGGGCAGGCAATGAACCTCTCCCCCCCCCCCCCCCACACACACACAAAAAGAAAGGCGGCCAGGAAGAAATAGTTCATTCTATAGCTCAACATGTTTGGAAAATTCCTTTATCAACTTTTTCATAAACCAAAAATGATTCCTTAACATTAGAATTTAAACTGTTATTTCCCCCTCCCTGCTCCCCCAAGTAAGTTTGCTAGCAACTTCCAATTCACGTGTTTTAGCTGGCAAGCAGCGCAGCTAAAGTAAATATATTTTTTTAAAAATGGGTCATTCTTAATAAAAAGAAAAGTAGCAGAGTAAGACATTTTTTCAGAGACCTATTAGGGATGTTGTGGGTTTTGTACGAGAATATAAAATATAACACAAGTAAAATAATGGTTTAAAATGACCTAACTTATTTTTTAAAACATGGATTTAATTAGTTTAGCCTCCTGGACATCTTTCATTTGTACAACTTAAGATAGTTCCAAATTATCTGACATTTTTAATTTAGTATTTTTAGAGATAAAATGAGTAGAACCCTCTGGGGAAATGGGCGGCATATAAATGTAATAAATAAATAAAATATTCATTTAAAAAAATTTTTTCTTTTGCTGTGGATTCAGAAAGTATATATTGCACTGAATGCTGGTTTTATCTCATTTTAGACATGGATGCTTTTTCATACATAAAACTGTGTAAGTGTAAAGTGTTTATACAGTTTTGTTTCGGGGTGTCCTTGATAAAGGAATTCTCCAAAAGAGGTTAGTCTTCTGTACAACAAAATCTTTCCTATTAGTGCTTGAGATTACTCTACCCGTTCTGTTTTAGTTTAAATATGCAGTTTGCCAATCAGATATTCCTGTCATATCACAAACTTAACTTGTTTGTTTTTACAGGTTAGGTTTGAAGTAGTTTAAGAATGGGATCCAAGATCACGTAATGAACACCATCTCTCTTATTTTCTTTCCAAGCCAGTAGGCCACACGTTGTGAGTGTCATTAATTTGACACAATTTTTCCCGGCCGCCGTGGATCAGACTGCTGGCTTCCTACAGCTAACGGTGGTGGGAATCTAATGAGTGTGTGCAGAAACAACGCATAAGACTAATCGGCATCATTCTAGAACTGGAAGGTTGATGCTGTATCATTCAGTAATATTTCCAGCAGCTCGCCCTTTCTGCATTGTATTAATATTATAGTATTAATATTCACGAGAGAGAGATACCCTTTGTGGTTCAGGGACTGTACTGTGACCAAGTGGTTCAAAAATTAACTTGGGCTGTCATACAAACCAAACGCTACAAAAGATTCTGTAATCAATTATCTTTTATTTTGTTCATTTACTGTTGTCAGACAATTTTTAAAAGATATTTATCTTTACATACAGAGAGAGACTTGAGTTGTCAGTAGAGCAGTTTGAACATAAAAACAGTCAACTTCATATCACTACATTTCCAAAAAAATATACACCACTTTTTATACATTATAGGCCTGGTTGCTGGAGAAATAAAAGGGCACGTGTGAAATGCTGAAGAGAAAACCGATGGCAACGGTAACCCTGATGTCTTTCTAAGTGGCAACTAACGGTGATTCATTCTTTCACTATCTCCATTTCATCTGTCAAGGTATATGCCTAAAATTACGCCTAGGTGAAAACAGGATTTCATGATGTGTTAAAATTGCTTCTGAACACCACAATTTCAGGATGAGTATATGTAGGGAAATGTACATTAAATGTTTTCCCTTGGGAAAAAAAATCTTCTGTAATCCCTTTCTTTGATATCTAATCTTCTACATAAAATGAACTTTTGGTTAAGCATCGTGCTCAATCATGAACAGACATGTGCAGTCTTCTACTCTCCACTGGTATGTTACCCAAAATTAACAAAAATGTCTATATACCCAGTTTTGGAGGGAGGGGTCAAAAAGAAGAAAGTATGCTCATTACACATGTCCAGTTCTTGGATATTAGATATTTAGCACATACAAAAAAGTTTGATATAAACTAGTTTCTTACACTGATTTTACTGCCTTGATTCCAAGGATAGAAGTAAGATTAGGAAATATATACTAACAAATCTGGTGGCTAAAATATTTTCATATACAGTACTTTTGAACAATAGCACTTGGTTACAAAAACACCACAGTGATGATTATTGGCACATTAAAAAATCTTGATGTGAAAATAATCAAAACAAGTAACTGCCCAATAGATTCCTATGTTAAATCTACATCATTTTACAGGACCAAAATCATTTGCCCCAAACATACAGTTTGTGCATTTTCAACACGGTTGCGACTCAAACCATCCTGTAGACCAGGCCAAATGATAGCTGTACACAAGGCGATGAAGACTGTTAGAAAATCACATTTTTAAACCGAAAAATGTGACTTGCTTAAATCTGAAGAACGTTTCAGAAACTTCTTATAATCTGTAGCTACATTTAAGCTGTAAAGTTACCCGCAATACCACACTTTTTTTAAAACCACAAAGCACGTATTGTGCCTACCTACTTCTGGCCTGAGACACACCCCGAGAAGAAACAAAAGAAAAACGCCCCGATCAAAGTGATGGTTAAAGTGCTTCCCAGGTCTGTCATCTTCGTATCAAAATAAAACTATAATACATTCTTCCCAGCTTCTTAAACACTGATTTCATTACACTTCTGAGTTTCCTATACACAAGACTGGCCCTTCCAGCTACATGGCGGCTCCTGGAATTTGCTGACCAGCCATCCCAGCAGCCCATGTGGATAACACCAAACTGAAAAAGCTGCTGCGGATTTTCAAAACGAGGGTGAAATGGGACTGAAATGCAATGATGGTCAGGAACACAAGCAACTGGCCACGTTTAGCAGGTCCACTGAAAGCAACGGAAGCTGTACAAGAAGTATCTATGGATCTGACCAAGGCTCACTTACATCAAAAGACACAACGGTTTTCATTTGCACATCAGCCCCCTGCTGCCCAGAGTTAATGACTGATTCCAGTCTATCAGCTTCTTCCTAGAACTCCAACTTACTTGGGGAGGGAAAGGGTAGACCGTGGGAAATCAAAGGGAGCAGAAGCCTTGGGAATGGCAGGTAACTTATCTTTCAAGTTCTTGCCTTTGTTATTACTGTCTACACTGGTGTTTTTCAAACTTGGCAACTTTAAGATGTGTGGACCCCCTGGCTGGGGAATTCTGGGAATTGAAGTCCACGTGTCTTAAAGATGCCAAGTTTGAACAACACTGGAATACACGTTGGAGGCATATGAATATGCTTGACAGGTTTTACTGCCTCTGGGAATCCTGGGAACTGTAGTTCTCATTCCTCCAAATGGAATACAAAGCCACAAATTAAAATGAGAGATTCCAGTCTTACAAGAGGTGAACCCTCTAAAATATGTTTAGAAATGTTCTATTACTGGGTTCAGAATATTGAGATGGGCCTATCTGAACTTCAATTTCTCCACCAAAAGTACTTCTTAAACAGAGAAAATAAAAACTGGGAGCCCCAAAAAGCTAGTAATAAATCAGATCAAATGTGTGCTTGGGGAGGGGGGAGGAGTTGCTTTAGCATTCTTTGCAAGTAGTATGGATTTTTGCAAGCCAGGGGACTCATGTTTGAATCTTTCCAATTCTAAAATGTGGTGCTATTTGTAATACGAACTAGAACTTCTATTTAAGGCAAATCTGATAAACTTTATTATATCTGTCCTAGATTAAGTCCCACCAAATTATGCTGAAATCCAGCTCCCATCAGTCTTAGTAGCCATGGCTAGTGATGATGAACACTGCAATCCACCAACCTCTGGAGGGTGATCTGGGACTTAAATCCTAGATGCACTATGCTATTTCATACATGAATTGCTTGGTAATCCTTGCTTATCTAATGTCAGCAAATATCTGGACCTAACATCTCAATCCTTTCAAATCATAGCAGCCTAGTTTCCATTTTCTATACAGGAGAGCTTCTCTACACTTAATGTAGAAATGCTTCAAAAAAGTCTTACATTTCAGTATTTAAGACTGCATCCATTTGATATGTTTATCAAATGCATCCAAAATAACTTATTTCCCTAAGTTTACTGAATGCATTTCAAAATTTAGTACTCTTAATTTTTATAATAGCTTATAACATCTTCCCAATGACCATTCCTAATCTTCATCGATGGTGGGCATCATTTATAAACATTAATCTAATTGGTAATTTCCCCCATGGTTTTAATGATTTACAATTTATTTTGTAAATTTCTTGCAAAATCAATTCCATTTGAAGCATCTTTTTTTCTAATTCATAGGACAATCTAGTTGGATAAAAATCTGCACTCAAAATATGTGAGCCTATGTGTTTGTATAAATGTCTCCAAAAGAGTTTTTCCACATAATCACATTTTACAACTAAGGAAAATACTCAAGAAAATAATGCACAGCATAAATCATGCTCAAAAAGCTATTGGAACCCTGAAGCAAACTGAAGGATTTTCATAAATTAATTAGAAGAAAGAGTAGAATTAAGCTATCTAACCTGGAGTTGGCTTGCTTTCTATTGAAAGGTTTCCTAATATCCAATCCAGTATAGATAATAATAAACATGATGGCTGCAGGCAATTTAAGAACCTGATCCATCAAGCAGACCTTCCCATCTGTGGATTGCTTTTGCTAGATTAAGACAAACGATTAGTAGCAGCAGCAGCAGCAGCAGCAGCAGCAGCAGCAGCAGCAGCAGCAGCAGCAGCAATATTTAAGATTTCTCAAATCATACTAGCACACCACTTGAAGCTCTCATGTCTGACTTTTTAAAACAGACTCGAACTCAACAGACTTCTAAAAATAATTAGATATTAGAATGATTCAGGTAAGTGTTGTGCTTCACCTTGTTCATAACTATTAAAAATAGACATTTTGGTCTAAGAAATTAATTTGATATACTGTAACTACACTGTATTTAGAATGTTAGATATGTAACATAGCTTTCTTGAACTTAAAGTATGCAAAATATAAAGAAAATTCTTGCAAAATAGAAGTATTTTGTCTTTATTCATTCATTATAAACATAGATTCTAAAAATAAAACACCCAATTGAATAGGGCTTATTTCAAGTATTCATTCAATTCAGCATTATTATAAATAATTCTTATAACTGACTAAGGCAGGGCTAAATGATAAAGCAATATCAAAAGGAAGACGTAAACCAGGAGGTCTGGTCAGAAAAAGGGTGCGGTAGGTCTTGTGCTCTTGTTAGGGAATTGAAATACACTGCTTTCAACTTCTAACAGGTGGAGGGCGGGGAGATATCAGACTGACTTTTAAAAAATATTTCATAAGAAGATAAAGCAGCATCCAAAGGGTGCATGGCTGAATGTGACTTGAACAAATGCCAGAAAAATTAGACGACGATGAATGCTTTTTGATTGACAGAAGCCTCAGCAGAGTCTGAAAAATAGGAAGGTTCATATAAACCGGAACATGATTTGCAAAGCACAGCACGCTGCTTTGTGACAATGTTTTATCAGAGCAATAATTAGGGAAGCCATGCATAATTATTGTTGTCCCAAAGTAAATAATTGGAGCAGAAGAGGAAGAGGAGATCACTGATTATCCCACTTGGCTTTAAACCGAAATCCTTCGGATTGCTGATCTGCAGGTTGAACTTGCCTCACGGGCCCCATTCCCACGCATGCCGGATGTTTTTTCCCAGATTAAGGCTTTAGGCAGGGACACCAGTAAAGGCATGTTTAAGGGCAGCAGTTTGGTTCACCTCCGTCACCGGACTCTGTTGGTCATAACAATGTGCTTGGAAATTGAACGTCTACGCTATCAAAGCCAGAACAAGGCAGAAACCAGTTTCGTCATAAAAGCAATCAGGTGCCATTTAGTCAGGAATGTGGCTGGCAAGAGGGCCAGCGTGGTGTGAACAGCGTCAGAACACAGGCCCCGCCTCTTTTCTATGGCCCAAAGGGGTGGAGCCTGCGCCTTCCTCTTTCGGTCCAAAGCAGCCAGAGCCCACGGATGTGGCTGGGATGGCCAATCCTTATACAAGATGGAGGAGATTAATTATTCTAAGGCAACCCTGTCCATTTAGCAGAACTGTCATGGAAAAGCTTTGTGAAATATAAAGGTTAGCTTTGACACAAGGAGAACTGTGAATAATAGGTATGTATGTATGGGCATCCTCATTTTTTATAGTTTTATTTTCAATAGTTCCTTGGCTGAAATTCCAGAAGGCTCCCCCACACCCCAAAAAATAGTTTGGCTGTTGAAACAGAGGCAGCAAAGGGAAATTAGAACCGCCGTATATGCCCTGGCAAAAATAAGGACTTGTTTTTTACAAGAGTGCAAACCCAGCATGGACGTCTCTGTCACTACATTTGATGCCATCGCCTGTCTGTCTACAGAAACAGGAGTAAACCTTCAGAGCACTGGAAGAAGAGTAGCTGTGTTTAGATGTCCCACGTTTAATATTTCTGCCCTAGAGATATTCAATCCTACCCGTCACATGTCACAAGGGAAGTGATTTTTATAACCTAGGATCTAGTAAGATTGAGTGGCTCTCAGCTCCACCTCATCTAGGAATTTAATCTCATGTACTATGACAAAATGAATTACTTATTCCACATATTAATTCCACACATTCTATTTAGGTTCACATATAGCTACGTAGATACAGAGACCACAGACGCATTTACTCATATTCGGCAAGTTAAGGGATCATCATCCCAAAGGGGGGATAACCCTGTTTCTAACATCAATGTTTGAATGTAGCACTAAGACAGAGCTGAAGAGGATCCTAGTTTAATGATCACAAGCAGGTGGACAGAGAGTTTGTGCACCACGGTCCCAAGTGTCTTCTCCCACCTGCAGGGGTATCTAAACTAGTACGGATGTTCTCCATTATATCTGAGCAGAAACTGTTGGTTTTCTGCTCCCCTGCCAAACCAAACTCTGAAGCCAGGACTAAAAGTTGCTGCCTATTCCAGGAGCCAGGCTTCAATGCGTTTGCTTCCTCATTAGTTACTGCTGGCAGGTGGAGTCAAGTGGAGCAACTGAGCTGTACGACTGTAATACCAACTGTTGAGCCAGGATTAGTATTTACTGAAAAACTATTCCTATTCGTAAAGAAGCATTTACATTTTGACGTGCAAATAAGAGGAAGAACGGCACATTTTCTTTTTTCTAGGATTGTTATTTTTAAACCTTGTGTTATTAAATGATGACTGACTTAATTAACCATAGTTAATGAGGAATAACATCATTGAAGCACTGTATGATTATTATTGAATCCTTAATTATATAATACATGTGATATGGGGCACACACATATATGTATATAATATTTTACTCCATTGAATGAAAGACAATTTAAGATGGTATTTTAATTATTAATCAGTCAACTGTTCTTCTAGTTCCCAAAAATTACTTTCAAAAATATTTTTAGTGAAGAAAGTTATATTACTTTTTTCCCATCTGGGAGAGTTTAAAATTGACTATTAGATATGATAGTCAGTAATACTTTCTTCTTACTCTTTCTGTAGTCCATGTATCTTTAGGTGCATTATTTTCTTTTTAAAAATGGTGAAATAATGATTTTTTACTTAGTCTACGATGGATGAAAACACCTTCTCTTTGCTCTTCCCCACCTCTAGATCAACACTGGTGTTATTCTGAGAGAGTGTTCATCGCAAGTCCTGCAAGGAAATCCTAAATCACCGGGACCCTTAACCCTCCTTTTGCAGCTCCCAGAAATCTAAGAAATTTTGCTGTTGAGGGTCCATGGCATACTACCAAGAAGCAAGAGACTGAATTGCTTCTGATTTTTTTCTTTTTTTTGTGGTGGGGAGTGGTGGTGGTGGTGGCGGTGGATTAGTTTCAAAAGCTAGTAAGGCTTCTTTGAGATTTGACATAAAACCATGGTAAACACTTCCCAGATTCCCTCCCGGACAATTCACCCCCTTCTATGATGTTCCCGTCCTGCTCCCCGTGGCCCTTGAACGCTGAAAGAATAGCTGCTCTTGTCCAAAAGATCCTACAGTCCTACAAGGCCTCAACAAGTTTAGCAAGCACCTTCCATTGTGCAAAAAGGTCACTGCAAATAAAGTCTGAAAACTCAGACCGATGGCAATGTTGAACTGCGACAACCTGATGGCAATAGTATCTGGTGCCTCCATGGAAGAAGGCCAGTAGAGAGGCTGTCTCTTGCTTTCTAAGAAAATGAAAGTTACCACATTCCGGTTCACCCTTCTCAGTCACCTTGCTATGCCTTTACTCTGAACGGAAGTCTGGGCTAATTCAGAGCCAAGCAAGTGGCTTAGAAATAGCCTCGGTGAGGCTCTAGCGCTGAAGGCAAGCAGAGCACCGCTTGCTTTTGAGATTTCCAGAGTAAAAGGTATTGCTGGCAACCTAGTCCATGAAGACCAACAAAAGAAAGCAAAATCTTCTCCACGGGCCTACTGGAACCCCAGAAGTTTTGTGTGTCACAGAACTCAAGTCGTTTAAAATGTTACAATCCTGGGATCTCAGATTTCCTTGTGCAAAGCAATGCTGGTGGGACAGAATTAGGTTTATAAAGATAAGCACACCCAAAGAAAGAGGCCACAGAGGAAGCTGCGGAGACCTGCCTTCTCCATGCACACGAGATCAACTGGCTTTTTAAGAGGAGTAGTAACATTAAAGTAAGTTACGGTTTCCACAAGCAGCAGCTAATTCTTGCCCGCCCGCCCTCCCTCCCTCCTTCTGCTCACTTGTAAGAGGTGGGTTACTTTTGCGCCCGGTCTGGGTTGCTAGGTAACTACTTTTATGAGTCATCTGGTTTCTGACTTATTGTTCTTCTGAGCATTTTTCAAGCTGGTCAACTACACGGCACCTCATTGATTGAATCTTGTATTGCGGTTTCAAGGACCTCAGCCATGCAGCGGTGCCCAGCGCAGGAATACTTATATCTCACAGAGTAACACCCACTTTGCAAGCGCTTTCCTTCTTGCCCATTCTTCGTTGCGACCAACTTTTGGCTAACTGATAAAATGATGTTGTATTTTATTTTTATTTCCCCAAATGACACGGTTTAAAATAGGAAACCATTTCCACACAGGCAGTAGGAAGGAGACCCAGACCAGAAATAGGCCGGCGAGGTCATTAAGAGCAGCTCCTTCATTATCCCTCCACCAAGGCTTTTAAATGATCTAATTGATCGGCAGCTGAAATTTATTCCACATCAGAAGCATCGTTGTCAGAAAGATGGTAATTGCTTCCCTTCACCCGGATATATTCAATATACCTCCCGTCATCAGAATCTGAAATGCCACATGTACATAGCGAGGTCTCAAACAAGCCTTCAATTTCCTCTAGTTTTTTTCCTTTGGTCTCTGGAAGGCAGCCGTAGAGAAAAATGAGCCCCACAAACGCAAATCCGGCATACAGAAAGAACGCTCCTGCGGTTAAGAAAGAAACAAACAACCCCCCCACAGAGTTATTATATGGGTCTTTTAGTCTCTAAGGCTTCTCTTAGATTCATATTTCAAAAATACTAAACGGAAGGTTCCATTCAAAACATCGTATAAGCTGAAGGACATCCCTGCAAAGCTAATATTCACCTAAAGATCAGGAGCAGAGACTTAGCGTGTTTGTAGACAACAGTTTCCTAGCCCAGTGTTGTCCAAACTTGGCCACTTTAAGATGAGTAGACTTCAACTCCCAGAATTCCCCAGCCAGCATGGG